ACTGATCACCCAGCAGCTGGCCCGACAGCAGCGGGAGCCCAGCAGATTCTGCTGCACGACCGCCCGGAGCACAGGTGCCGCGTGCACCACGCTGCCATTGTAACGGCACGACTGCTATCCTTCCCGCAGAAAGGACAGCTGGCTCGCCCAGCTGCCCCGCCACAGAGCCAGGACTGCAACCCACGCTCCTGTCCAGACTCTGCCCAAGCCCTCTTTCTCCTCCCCGAGACGGCCTGGGCCCTGGCTTCATAAATGCGGGGTTCCTCCGCTGGGCCCTCCAGCCACGGCAGCCACCCGCAGGTGGCAGAGCGCCTCTGAACCTCGCCTCCGCCACCTGCCAGAGCCAGGTGAGAGGCCCTGGCCCGGCAGGGAGCAGGTGCTGCCTGGGGACTGATGCCCTCTCTTAACCGTAGCCTGCGGCCTGCCTGAGGGCATTTCCTTTCTTTCCCGTGCCCCCTGGCCCAGGGCCTAGCTCCTGGCAGGCACAGCCGCGCGGGGCTTGAGGGGGGAGCGCCTGGTCACCTGACACGGCCGGGGCCAGCTCCTTGGCACTGCAGCCCGGCAGGTTGACGATGGCTGAGGCGGCTTCGTACACTACCATCTCGTGCTTGTTGCGCAAGCAGCTCTCGATGAACCCGAACAGCGGGCTGTCGCGGCTGCGGGACAACAGGCGGCAAGAGGACGCTGGGGGGCCCACCCGGGAGAGGGGCGAGGCCTCGCGTGGCATGAGGGGGGACACAGCGCCACTACCTGCCGTCTTCCTCCTCCAGCTGCCGGCTGGCCACGCGGACCATCATGCAGTAGGCGAAGGGGGACTTGAGGCCGTGCCGCGTGAACTTGCTGATCATCTTGCTGACAGCCAGGCGGTCGTTCTTCCGCACGTGGTACAGGAGCCCCAGCGCGTGGTACTAGAGAGCGGGAGAGGGCAGCAGAGCACGGGCGTGTGAGGCCGGGGCCCCTGGCCGTGGGGCTCTGGAGGTCATGGTCCCTCTGGGCTCCGGCCTCCTCGTCTCTGGGATGGGCATCGTAGTCGCTTCCTCCGGAGCCTGGGTGTGACCGTGCCCAACAAGCCGCCTGGGGGTCTGCGATCCTCGTCCGCCCCCAACTTCAGCAAGGGCCTCGACAGGCAGCGTGAGTGCAGGTGTGGAGGGGACAACAGGTGCCACAGGTGGAAGAACAGAAGGAGACCAGGTGTCTCTGACCAGACAGAGAAAGCGGGAGCCGGGCCTCGGGGGCGACACGTGTCGTAAGGTGCTGTGCAGACGTGAGCCCTCACAGCGTCAGACCTTACGTGTGACACCGTGTGACAGGTACTTCAGCCCCCACCGCCCTGCCCAAGGACTCGTGGCTGTTGCCGGCAAGGCCAGGTCTGCAGAGGGAAGGCACACGGAGTTACCTCCTGCCCCTCTGTTCTTTCCTAATTCCTTACCAGGGTGACACTCAAGGGCCTTCTATGTGGGAAGCGTTTGAGGGGCCACAGCTGGTCCTGGAGACGAGACCCAGCACAAAGGGCACAGAGGGAGGGAACAGATGCCACACAGGGAGGCTGCAGGTAGGGGCCAGATGGGCAGGGGCTACAGAGGCTCTCATTTGACCCTCACGGCTTTGTGAGGCAAGGACTTTCATTCCTGTTTTACAGACAAGGAAACTGAGACTCATGGAAATAAAGGGGTTCCTGGCTGAAGTCACTGAGGAAGAGATGAGTACATGAAAGCCCCACCAGGATGCTTCCATGCATCACTAACAAAGCCAGCTGGGCAAAGGCCCTCCGCCTGCCTGGGCCAGGTCAGCTATGTCGCATACCCCAAAACAACACTCTGGTTATCAAAATACTCGATATTTTGGTACCAGCTAGTAACGTCTCCAACCCAACTCCCCCTGCAAGTGATGCCCTGGATTCTTTCCCCAAACCCCCCAAGTCTCCCCACAACGACAAAACGATTAAAGCCTGCCCCAGCCAGGGGCCGCCAGGATCTCCGTGGTAAGAGTCCACGCTGTCTGGTCAGGACAGTGCCACCAGACTAAGTATCTTCAATATCACTGCTCTGCTCACCTGGACCATGATGTTATCACTGGATGCAGCCTCCTGGGCCTCATTCACCCAGCGCTTGACCACGTCGAAGCTGCACTTGAGCAGGTGCTGTGGGGCACAGGGCGCATTGAGGGAAGGGCAGGCAGGATGCTCGGCCATCACACCTCCCGGTCTGGCCACAGTTCAGCTGGCTCTGGGTCTTCCCTCAGACACAGCCCAGGGCCCCTCTGTCGTCCGGGTCCTCTGAGAAGTGCACAGACTCGGGACAGCTCCCACCCTCACTCTCCCTGCCTTGGCAGACTTCCTGCCAGGCTCAAATTCCAAAAATCTGTCACCCTAAAGGATGGGTCAAGGCTGTCCAACTGGCCCCTCAATTGACCCAGAGTTCCCCGGGAGCTCTTCACTGAGAAGGGGGTGGGACGCTCAGATCTGGGGATACAAAGCTTTTCTTTTCTTTTGGAAAGCGACTTTGACGTTTCTTCAGTCTCCCAATCCAGCCCCCGCCCCCAGCCCCTGCTGAGGCTACACACCAGGGAAGACACCAGAGCAGAGCTGGAGACGCTGGGCACCTTGTCCACGATGGCCTGCTTCATGTAGCGCTCGATAGCCTGCAGCATGGTGCTCTGCAGGGACGAGGGGTGGGCGGGAGGGGGCCCGGTCAGTCCCTGCCGCCCTCCGGAGTGCAGGAGACAGGGTGTGGAGGACGGACGGCCAGGAGGGAGGAAGCAGGCTCATGTGCCGCGTCCCCGCACCCCTCCCAGGAGCCGGGGGATGAGCTAGAGCACGTGAAGGGTGAGACCCTGCGGCGACCTAGCTGGCCAAGGGGGACTCACGTCAGTGATCTGGCAGAGGGCGCGCACGGCCGGGCCCCGGTAGCTGTCTTCCTTCCCAGTCATGTCCTTCGTCAAGCTGCAGGGACAAGGCGATGGCCTCACGCAGGGGCCGGGCCTGCCCTCCCGGCCCTGCCCTGCCCACCCCGGGTCACCACGCCAGTCTCCTAACGGGCATCCTCCCTGTGCTCTTAACCCTTCCCCGCCAAACACCACACAGCAGCCAGAGGGTTTTTCATAAAACTGAAAACCGACCGGGTCACTCCCCGGCTCTGACTGAAACCTTCCAGAGGCTTCCTGCTGCCATCCCCATCAGGCCCTCACAGAGACATCCCCAAACAAGCCGTGCTCTCCACCCCAGGCCCTGGCACCTGCGTCCCCTCAGCCGGGCGCACTGCCCCCCTCATCTCCACCTCTGTCCTGCTACTTCTCACTCAGACCTCAGGACTCCACTCAGACAGTTCCAGGAGGCCTTTCCTGACCCAAATTCAAGTTGACTGCCCTCCTGATCTGCTCTCACAGCCGTCACACTTCCCTAATGCCTGTCTGCTGGGTTACTTCTTGGTAAGTTCTGGGGCTGCAGAGGCCATGCCTGTCATGTTTGCTGCTCTATTCCCAGGGTTACACGGGGGCTGACAGATGATAAATATTGTCTAAATGAACCGACACACGAATGTATAACGTCCCCCCCGAAACTGTGGCAAGAAGCAATAAGAGAACTAAGCCCAGGGATTATATTTCAGTCCACTCTGTCCCCTGAATCCCTCAGCCTAATACTTAGTGAGCAAAGCAGTCCTTAGTGAGCGAGTCTGCCTGTGCTCCCCATGTATATATACCCCTACGTGTATCCTCCCTGGGCTTTCTCTTGGTACTCGCTAGAGTCTTTGTGAAACTTCCGGCTGCCTCAGTTGACTGAGAGGAATCAAGGGGAAGGAAGGCTCTGTGCCTAAGTTCAGGCCCGAGAATTAAAAGGGAAACCGCCCACCCTGGAGGCCGCCACTGGTGGGCAGGGTAAATGAAGGACGAGGGAGACAGAAGAGCAAAGGAGAAAAGGGCACGGGCGGGCTTCCCTGGTGGCGCAGTGGTTGAGAATCCGC